GGATGTTTAAAGTTTTGGCGTAGATATCACGTACGTGTAGTCGACACGCCGAGAAGCCCGCGTGCGGTGCTTGCTTCGTCGTCGGCAACTGCTGACACGTGCACCGTCCAAACTTAGACTAGCAGTCTATCCCACANCTTCCCGATCGCATACGCCGCGATCACCTGCAAGCAGTCAGAACAGATGAATAAAGGTGAACGTGACGTGGTGTGTACGAAGACCCTCGTGGAGTCCGCCATCCCGCAGTTCATCGTGCTGGCGAAGGCTGCAGCGAAGAAGCTTGAGCTGCCGCTCCCGCTGGACATCGAGGACAAGATGTATCTCACGTCGTTGGGCACAGGTATGTTGCATCCACGGATGCAGTGTTGTTCGGTTGCACTCGATCCACGCGGGCGTGAAGGCCTGAAGATGTTTAAAGTTTTGTCGTAGATATCACGTACGTGTAGCCGACACGCCGAGAAGCCCACGTGCAGTGCTTGTTTCGTCGTCGGCAACTGCTGACACGTGCACCGTCCAAACTTAGACTAGTAACCTATCCCACGAATCCATTCCACTAGAGTCGATAGCATACGAGAGCAACCGCGCACTCTTCAACAGCAGCAGGTAGTCTACCGCCGTGGCGATCTGAGCCTCTGTTCCAAACAAATAAACGCTAATTAATAGGCGAGCCTGGTCGTTGTTCAACCTTGCCTTTCCGCGCGTGGGGCAAGGTCTGTTTGCTATGCACACCCCAGTAGTTGCCGAGAGCGTATTGTCTTCGCTGCTGTCGCGTAAGATCTATCGAGATCTACTTGATTGTAGGTCGAGCCTTAGACCCACCCCATACACGTAGACCGCGTAAGCATCTTCCGCTTCCTTCCGGCGACTGGACTGCAGGAAAAAAACCGGCGGTATCGTTTAAAGATAAACCCAGGGCCTGCTGGACCAAATGGGAAACCATCAAGCGAGACTACACGAAGGAGATCCAGATCATCTATGACGAGTGAGTAGCGGAGGTAGTCACAAAAATTCAGCAGACAAGGTGCCATGTGTTGTATGAGCACCACAAATCAAGCCAGTGAAGTGCGGTGAAGTGCACCTGTACTTGAGGGTAGTAGACTATTGACNAGCGTATTGTCTTCGCTGCTGTCGCGTAAGATCTATCGAGATCTACTTGTTTGTAGGTCGAGCCTTTGACCCACCCCATACACGTAGACCGCGTAAGCATCTTCCGCTTCCTTCCGGCGACTGGACTGCAGGAAAAAACGTACAGCGCCACTCAAGAAAACAAATTTTGCGATTGATCAACCGCAATCCTTCCCGTGTACCATCCGGCGGCTTGTTCGTGCAGAGGTCCCCAGACCGCGTCCGAATTTGAATCGGGGCAGTCATCCGAGGACTACGCAGCCAAGCTTATCGAGGAAGTGTGGCAGCGCTCCGACGAGTGCAAGAAGGCGGAGGCCGTGGACCTCACCCAGACAACACCAGCAGTGATCGCCGATGCTGGGTCTCTGTCAGCGGCAGCGGCTAGGTTCCAGGAGGTTGGTACGGGGTCGGCAGGAGAGGGGCCGGGAGGAGGACATGAGATGGATCCGAAGCCCGAGTGCGATTGCGATCCACCGCAAGAGTGCACCATTGCCGTCGATGAGAACGTGAGTGTCGTGTGTAGCGCGTCAGTGGTGGTTTATTCTGTTCGTGAAGCTCGAACGAATGTTGAGAATTTTTGTGCTGAGAGTGAGAGCGGACACACTTAAAAACCCCTTTGTCTGGCCTGGGGAGGGGGGGAGCATTTTTGCTGCGTGGTGCCCCGCCATGGGGGGTTGAGGTGTTGTCCCAACATCAATATGTACGCCCCGGGGAACATAACTCGGCCGGAGCAATAATCTGTTCATGCGTCATCCCCACTTCTGGCAGCACCCTTGCTGCTCTCGGCGAGAAGAACATTTCCCAACTTCTACGTCCGTGCGACGATGTCGCTCAATGTTTTTAGTGATTAGACTGACAGGGTTCGCCGGGACAAGAGGGACAAGGAAAACATGGCGCAACAAGAAAAGGCGACGACCCTTAAAAAGGAAGCGTTGCAGGCTTTGCAGAAGGGGAACGAGAACTCGGGCAAACTGGTGGCGTCGATGGAGGAAATGGTGGATCTCAAGCGGAAAGCGGCGGCTCGGGAGGAGACGGCGGCGGCGGCGGCAGCGAGGAAGAGGAAGATCGAATCCATCGAAAAACTGCTCATGCTGCCAGACACGGACAAACCCAATCTCCAGAAGCAGCTGGCGACGCTCCTGCATGAAGAGGTGCTTTCGTGAGAAGATATTTTTTTTATGCTTTCTTCCCTTGCGAGCTATCTCTCCGAGGGTGGTACTACCTTTTTGTTGGTGTTGGGTTTGTTGGAGGCCGGCCACAAAGCATGTTGTGTGTTGGGTGCGATTTAGATCCAGTGCTTGAGAACAGGTGGTTGACGAGGGAGGGGCGTTTTTTTTTGCGGGAGAGATTTAAAGTGTTGAGGTTTTTGGGTGGCTAGGAGAAACATCCCGTGACAAAGGTAGATGAGAAGGGAGGGCAAAGCGTTGAATGTATTCTTGGAGTTATATTTTTTTTTGCGAGAGAGACGCAAAGGATGCAGTAGGAGTTTTTTGGTGGCTGGGAGAACCATCCAGTGCCGAAGGTAGATGAGAAGGGAGGGCGGGGCGTTGAAGGTATTCTTGGAGTATATTTTTTTGCCTCCTCCACTGTGAAGTCGCAGTATGGGTAGAAAACGATGGCGGACCAATATCCGATGGCCGTACCCAAAGTTCTTTTCGCAACGTTGCATGCCAAGGTGACGCAACGATACATGAACCAATCCTTCATGTTCGGTTTTGTTGCACGAACAGGACAGCATGTGATACTTAATTGAGGTGTGTACTCTCGTGAAAAGTTCAACTTTGCCTCCGTCCTCCCCCGCCCGACCAGTACAATACACAATACCGTGGATAGGGTGACCCCCCTCCCTTCTCATCTACCTTCGGCACCAAGAAAGCTCCAACACAAAGAAAGCTTCAACACGCTTTGCGTCTCCCTCGCAAACAAAAATATAACATCCAGCGCCGCCTCCCTTTTCTACTACCTTCAGCACTGCATGTTTCTCCCAGCCACCACAAAACTCGAACACGCTCTAAGTCTCCCCCGCGAAAAAAAGTATTACTCCTACAAAACATCCAACGCCCCGCCCCTCCCAACTGCCTTCGGCGCTGAGCGTTTATCCCAGCCACCACAAAACTCGAACACGCTCTAAGTCTCCCCCGCGAAAAAAAGTATTACTCCTACAAAACATCCAACGCCCCGCCCCTCCCAACTGCCTTCGGCGCTGAGCGTTTATCCCAGCCACCACAAAGAAAGCTCGAACACGCCTTGTGTCTCCCGCAAAAAAAATAACTCCAAGAAAACCTCCAACGCCCCGCCCTCCCCTCATCTACGTTCGGCACTGGATGTTTCTCCCAGCCACCACAAAGAAAGCTCCAACACGCTATGCGTCCCCCCCGCGGAAAAAAACAAATACTCCTACAAAACATCCAACGCCCCGCCCCTCTCAACTACCTTCGGCGCTGAGAGTTTATCCCAGCCACCACGAAATCCAACACGCTTTGCGTCTCCCCCGCGAAAAAAAATAACTCCAAGAAAACATCCAACGCCCCGCCCTCCCCTCATCTACCTTCGGGACTGGATGGTTCTCCCAGCCACCAAAAACTCTAACACGCTTTGCGTCTCTCCCGCAACAAAAAAAAACTTTAACAAAACATCCAGCGCCCGCCTCCCTTCTCATCTACCTTCGGCACTGGGTTTTTCACAGCAACCACAAACCTCCAACACCCTTACAGCGTCTCTCCCGCAAACAAAAATATATAACTCCAACAAAACATTCAGCGCCCCGCCTTTCCTTCTCAACCACCTTTGGGACTGGATGTTCCTCCCAGCCACCAAAAAACTCCAACACTCTTTTCGTCTCCCGCAAAAAAATATATGAACCCCTACAATACATCGCACCGCCCCTCCCCGCCTCAATTACCTTCGGCGCTGAGAGTGTATCCCACCCACCACAAAATCCAACACGCCTTGCGTCTCTCCGCACTTGCTTTTACCAACAGTCAATTTGTCAAAAACCACCAACAAGAGCATTTATTTGCACACAACACATACAGGGGAGCGCAACGGGTGGGGACTACAATATACTTTTACCCACACCCTATGCTGCGCACTAGGGACAGGGGACACAAAAAAAGACGAAGCCATCATCGCGTGTCCGCTCCTACCGCCCGGAACCATTGCACCTCGCTGCTGCTCTTCGCGAACGCAAAGTGGTCTACCAGACGTTGCCTGTGGGCATGGANCGAGCATGGTGTGGATGATGCAAGCGGTGAACCGTGCGTCGTCGATCTTTGTCCGGTCGCCGAACAAAATCCCGGTCTTGAAGAGCCTGAACCGCCCCTTGAGTCGTCCGAACAAGCACTCCATGTCCTTGCGAACTGACTCCAACCTCTTGCTCCACTGCTGCTCCGCCACGTTCGCATACACCTTGAACGGGCATATCAGAAGGGGGACCTGTTGCACGGGGATAAACATCGGGAGAAATGAACAGCAGGTTCAGGGGGCGGTACTTTCCGTAAGGTAACAGTCGTTCTTCACTGACTACAGGTGAATTTGCTAGTGGGTTAAAATTGAAAAACCCTCCACTACTAAAGCGGGAGAGGTCTCTATCGTTTGATTAGTCCACGTCCGACCTGCGAAACAAAACGTTGTTCCGTGCGGACTGCTGTTGTAGGTGCATTGCTCTACTACACCCAACCGCCTCCAGGGCGAGGTTGTGCAATGCAGAGCGTTCAACGAAAATCACAGATCATCGACCAAAACCCAACAGACAAGAGCGGCGTTAAAACTGATCTGCGCTCGGGAGATGCACTTGTTCACGCTCGGGCAACGTGGAACGGCGGTGTTGCTGTACACCTTCCCACCACTAACCAACGGAGACAAACTGCGGCATATTGTGTGCCACATGTGCATCCCCGCACACTGCCGTCCAACAAATGATACTTGCGCGCTCTCACCCGATGGTAGCCCCCGTCGGCGATGAGCCATCCCCCCGTGTGCTTCGTCACGTCGCCGGTCTCGTCGTACATCTCGTACTTGTAGATCACCTACGGCTCCTCCCCCTCAACCCGCCGCACGGACAGGTCGCGCTGAACGACTGTCTTGTCGTTCTCGGCCCCCGGGTACCCCTTCGTCGACGCGAGGATGCGACCAGCATGGTCGCAGATCGCCTCGAACACGACCGTCGTGTACCCCTCTTTGCCCTTGTGGGTTGTGGTCTCCGAAAACGCACAGCGCTCCCATGGTACGTGGGTGCAGTCGATTGACCCCACGGCTCCCGGATACCCAAGAGATCTGTAGGTGCTCTCAACACGTCGGAGATCCTCTCCCTCCGGGAGACGTATCCAGGTGCGCCAAAGACCAGCGGCGAAGCAGTGGCAGAACCGGTGAAACGACTGCTCCGCCGTTGTCCGGCTCATCAAGGAGAAGTTTGCGACATCAGCAAAGCAGTTTCCTCTCCCTAGTGCTTGAAGCACCCCGAGCACCTGCAAATTGAACATGAATCGGGCCAGGTGTGTGGAAAAAAAGTACAAGGGAGTGTGAAACGCGTAAGGTTCTTGTTCACGGTAGCGTCATCCAACGAGCGCATGCGTGCGGCAGATGTCGCGGCTGCTGGTGGAACATGCACATGCATAGCGGGTGTTGGAGCTGCTGCTACCTCCTGCCTCTCAAACACAGAGTTGAAATAAGCCAATGACTACCACGCGGGGACGCTTGAGTGTAGTCGTACATACGTCTCAAACGAGCATACACAAAATGGCACACCAGCCCCAAGCGCGCCGCTGTGTGCGGACGGCCAAATCTTTCTACCGCCTGTCTGAAGACTACTGCTGTTGGGTACGAAGTACACAGTACTGCGTGGCGCTTCTTCGCTTACTTCTGAAGGGAACAAGCCTCTGCTTTCAATGCACCTCGTATGCATCGCAGTTGCCGCTGCTGTCGTGTAAACTGACTTCGACCCGAGGCGGGTGTTTAGTGCTCACGGGTGGTAGGATAACGAGCGCGCACGGAATCTGTGTGCAATTCAATTGCAACACCTGCCCGACCCACTCACACGCGCCCCCACCTCTTCGACAAAACAAGCACACACACTGAAACACAGCCAGGGCTAACAATCGTGGACAACAGCACACACCTTCAGTTCCAAGGGGACGCACAGGCGCCCGGAGACGTCGTGTTCCCTTGCAGGGAACACAGGATGAACCATCTCAACGAACTCGAGGAACAACTCGTACAGGACGCGGAAGTCTGCTCTGAAGGCCGTCGCTTCTCGGCTGTGCTGGGCTAAGTTGTGGCTGCACCTCAGGCTCTCCATCTGCGCCGATCGCAAGCCCCAAGCGACTTGTTGTAGTCCGGGCGTGGACGACTTTCACGGGTGCGGATGGCTTCTGCACTCCAGTCGTCATCGTCGGGGTCATCCCACCTCGTGGTGGCTCTGCTGCTCTAGACCATCCTCGAACAAGTCGTTGAGCTGCATACTCATGGTGTGTAGGCTGTGTACGGAAGCACATGCCGCGGCCGTGACAGCCGCCTCATCAAGGTCGTCATCCATGATGTGCGGAAGCTGGCGGAGGGTGTGTTGTTGGGGGTGTGCGGAAGATGCGGTGCAATTTGACCCCCCCCGCCGACAAGATTTGGAGAAGGGCTGGCGCGACCAAATCTTGGCGAAATATTTGGGCAAAAGGGGGCTCTTTGGTGTCATTCCAAATCTTGCCAAGAATCAAGGGTCGGTTTAGTCCAGTATGTACTAAACGTATAGTCCGTCCGGTTAAATTTTTCCACGATTGCCTAGAATCACTCGGGAATATATTGCGAGCGACTGACGTACCCCCTAATAACATACCTTATATCGTAAAAAAGCTCTATTTCAGCGGATCGTTTGATCGGAGCAGATTTTTTTTTTTTGGTTGGCGAGAATATCGCGATTCCGTCGAGATTTTGCCAGATTTTGTTATGTTTTAGTAGGGCGTGTGTGATGTCCACTTTTTTTTCGGTTTTGAGCGTATCGCGCCGAGGGCTACGCGGCGACCCAAGTCAACTTTGTATTCGCTGAGATACAACGGAGAAATGGGCAAAAAGACTCATTCCAGCTGGTCCCAGAGTTATGTTTTTAATGGTGAAACCAACCGATAGATTTCGAAAAACTCGACGGATTCGGGCGAATTGGACCTGCACCCAGGACCGTTTTTTTTTTTGCGAAAAAAAATTCTGAAAGAGTTATCGCCCATCAAAGTTTGGTGCCGCCACACACACCACACAACACACCACACACCACACACCACACGCTACAGCAGTCACATAGATCCCACTGAGGGCCCATCCAAGCCCATACATGATTGGGCGTCCCCCCGGTAAACGAAACAAGCAGCGTGGCAGCTGCCAAACAAGAACAGGTGGTCGGTTCGGCGCGA